GGCCTACTTCATACTCGATGAGCTGCTGCTGGCCGGCGAGCTGCAGGAGAGCAGCAAGAAGAATGTGCTGCGGGTGATTGCGGCGCAGGATGGGTTGGAGGATATGGAGGTAAGTGGTGAGGATTCGCATACTGGCAGTCATGTGTGAATGCATGTGCGGGTCTTGTATCATGTGCACACCCTCTTGTACCATCACCCGCTGATCTCTTTGCTCTCTGCGCAGGTCGAGGATGATGCCGTCACGAAGATTGGCTGAACGTCCGTTCCCTCCCTCCATCCGCCTGCCTCCCGCCACCTCCTCCGCGCTACCCTTGCCCGCTCTCCCGCCGCTCGCCCTCCCGGCTGGCTTGCTAACTCCGCTTGTCGCCACAGACTTCAGTCGAGATGAGCAGCGTCGTCGAGAAGCAGCTGCGCGAAGCCGGGCTGCTGTGATGCGCGGGCATCGGAGCATGAGAAAGAGGACGACAGAGAGAGCGAACACACATTTTGCACGGCTGCCTAGTACCTAGCTAAGAGGGAAGAAGCACGCCTGCCATCGCACAGCGCCCGTTTGACGGCGTTGATGGTCACGAGGCGCACATGGCGTTTACGGGGATACCCTGGGTATGATGCTTCTGCGGGCACGAAATGGCTGTTGTTTTTGAAGCCTGTGCGAGCATGTATGCTACTGTACGCTCCAGCACTAGGCGGAGCGGGATGGCATCAGCCTCCCAGAAGACAGTCCGATTGACATATCTGACTCATGCGTGTCTCCTTCCAAGGCTGTTTTGACTCCACACCGACGAGTTCTGCTTCAAGCACCACACAAAGTCGGCAGCTTCTCATTGCTATGAAAGGCTTCTCATTGCTATGAAAGTGGGTCTCACTCTCTCCTCTCTCTCCGCCATGGTCGTCCGCTAAACCACTCAATACAGCTTCGACCGTTCTTGCTCCCCGATCACCCGCAAAGGTGCCCACGCTTCACGCGTAGCATGGCAGCCACCGCCCTGCGCTCTGCACTGTGTGGCGTGCTCCAGGCCGTGGATGAAGGAAAAGGTACTCCCGCCCTTTCTCTCAGTTTGTGTCGTTCTTCGCTAAAGTACCGTTTCGGTCATGTATAGTGTCTATGTTGATGCACACCCCAGGGCAGCTACACTTCGTCTCCCTGCAATGGTGCGCGTCCCTCGTGCGGTTGAGTATACATGGGGTTGATATTACCACTCCTCCTGGACAACGCGAGCATAGTACACGCCGCGGCCCAGAAGCCTGCGGTTCATGGTCTGTCTTCTGCAAGGTATTCTGAGGTCATCACCGACAGAGACGGCAAGGCTCGGGACGTTGTTGGCGGTGTTCTGCAGACGCTCACATTGCCACCCTTTGATGGTCAGTCGCCACACTGGGTGAAAGGCCATGGGTGCAACGCCCAAGGCGACGTGCTGGCTGAGGCTGCCGAGTGCTGTCACTACCGTCACCACCACCACGAGCGAGCGCAACCTTGCCCGATTGGTTGGCCGATCTGCCGCGCAGGCCTCAGCTGCATGCCAGCACGTGACGCGGGACGCCGAGTCCCCAGGGTCCAGATCTCCGCTTTGGCTGGCACCTGGCCGTCGCCCGCTTCCCTGCTTCGGCATCGGCATCACCAACACAACAACGAGCACCTCCAGCAAGCGACTACACACACTCCAGTGATGACGACCACAGCGACATTCTGAGCCTGCTAGGCGCGCATCACGCGTCTAGTACTGCAGTCCCACGCGACCACCCGGCTTCCGACTGAGGGAAGTGTTATCAGGCCCTAGCGACCGACACCTTGCGCCCGGAGAACTTGCGCCCAGCGCGCCGTCGCCGTCGCGAAGGCGGCGTGAACACAACCCACGTCTTCGGAGCGAGAGCGATTATATACCCACTGCCACCGTTTCTGGCGACGGCATAGCCGCGCGTATCAGGATTACCAAGAGGCGATTCGGAAGCACCTACTGGACGAGTGCATCGAAGTCGAAATGAAGGTGCGTACAACCATGAGCGAGGACTGCTGCGACTTCGCGTGCGAAGAGTGGGCTCCGGCGGGCTTGATGAGATGCGATTCGAGAGCCGGCCGAGTTCACAGCTTGCGACGCGCGCGCTCGATGCGTGTCGCAAGACCTTCGCCGCGCATTTGCAGCAGTCGGCCCACCAAACGCGCGATCATCAGCTGACCGTTCGCAGTACCTACCTATCGCAGATCTCGACGTGGTTACGAGTGCCGTGAACTTCTCCACGCCCGACTGCCACGTCATCGGCGGATGCGATCTCTACACCACCAAAGCGGCCGGACGCGATAAGAAGCTGTACAGGGATATCGAGAACAGTCTGGAGTCGCAGTATGAGTCCCTCGTCCGCCTATCGGCCAGTTTGAGCCCGCCAGCGTACAGGGACATGGAGATTGACGAAGAAGGGCAGGTGGTGGAGCACGATACACGCAAGAAGCGTAGTCGCACAGTCGAGCCGCCGGATATCGACCTCAGCCGCGCCTCACCCTTCGGCCCACTGAGCCAGATCAACGCGCGCAGGACCTTCGCCTACCTCATAGCGACACTGAACGCCTCGCACCCGGACTACGACTTCTCGCACCTTCTGCGGCCGTCGGACTTCCGCAAAGAGCCGAGTCTCCGTCGCATCATGCAAAACATCGACAGCACCCTCCAGAACCTGCGACCGCAGCCCAAGACGCTGTACCTGGCGCCGCCCACCCTCAGTTCCAACTCCGCGCCCGCCATGTTCAACAGCATGGCTGGCAACGAGGTGTGGAGTCCGCGCATGTGGACGCTTATCGACAAGGAGATGGAACTGCGGCACTGCGACAAGTACAGCTACGCGCCCGACGACGACCCCTTCGATGGCGGCGACGAAGGCGGCACGGCGATCTGGAGCATGCACTACTTCTTCTTCAACAAAGAGCGCAAGCGCGTGTGCTACCTCTACCTGCGCGGACTGAGCGTGATCAGCCACTCGCCCGTGCATGCGCCGACGTACATGTACGCGCGCCCGAAGCTTGCAGGGCAGCACACGGTCTCGTCGATCAGTGTTGGTGAGGGCGCGGGCAAGCGGGCTAGTTACTGGCTGGGCTCCAACGTACACCCGGACTCGATTGATTACACGACGTATGCGGATGACGATGATGACGATGCGATGGTGATTGCGGAGCCGGACGATGATGAGGTGGAGGTGCCGCGTATCGATCTGGACGATATCCGGGGCGACCTGGCGGAGGGGTACTACGAGTATGATGGAGAGGACGATGGCCTTGTGCTTGACCCGATGTCCGATGGCTTCGACGGCATGGAGGGTTGGAAGGCGACGACGAGCACGAGGTCCGTCAGAGGCGTGAGCGAGGAGATTCGCGAGGAGATGGAGATGTGAGGGCTCGACAGCCGCAGCATCTCACGCACGGATGGGTTGGCAGCTTGAATGCGGGAGGACGGCGTTTGTCAGAGCTGAGTGTAATTGTTGGAGTTTAAAAAGGCTTGGTGGGATGGACAAGGCGCAAAGGGGCGCGTTGGGTCAAAGGGGCGCACATGAAAGCGCGCCTCTAGGGACGTTGCGCACGGTCGACGAGCTATCATGGCATGAAGCGCTCGAGCGTTTCCCAGCCAGTGGCGTGGCTGCCTCCGCTCGGCGTTTTTGGATGGCTTGAATGGTGTGGTGACGATGATGATACCCTCTTAACTACTGATTGCTGTGTATAGCTTACTTTCGTACTTACTTCCTTACCTCTTGTTCCAAAGAAGAAGCTCAAAGGAGGAGAAGTGAAAGGATGCCTCACTGCTTATTCCTCATTCCCCATTTCCCTTGATTAAATATCGAACGTGGCGGTGAGTCCTCCGAAACGCACTGACGTGCGCAGACGCGGGTTGGTCTTGATATTACTCTGATGCCATGGTGCGATCTGGAGAAAGAGCACTCTGGCACCCAACGTATACACAGCTCCCAGCAAAGACAGGAAGAGCTTAACAGCCTGCACGCACACGGGAAAGGTGGCGTGGACTATCCAACCGACGCTACTGACCTCGCTATCCGTTGTGCAGCGATGAGCTGTCGTGCACATTCACAACCCAGGTCTAGCGCCCTCTCCCACTCCAGGCCGACCTATATCGTGGCCAAGGTCTCTGGGGCGAGGTGCAAAAGGCTGGGGCGACACCGAAACTTGGGGACTGACGAGACTGATATGCGCTGCTATGCGTAAGCTGCTACGCTATACAAGTGCTCAAGAGAACACGCTCGATCCGCGTGCGTCCGAAAAGCCTGTTATGAATGCTGGACAGGAGCGTGACAGGTCTGTGAGTGAGACGATGAGACCGGACGGCACGCTCGGATATAACGATCGTCTTCAACACCCCGGGAGACGGAAATGTACGATGTCGAACGGGTACATTAACACCGATTCTGGGATTGTTTCGGGCCCTACAATCTATTGGGGCGTCTTCTGGCCTCAACGTGGTCAGCCACTGACTCACTGCCACGTGAAGGCGCGCGTCGCGGCCTTTTTGAGGAATACGAGGCAGCGCAAGACTCGGGAGGACATTTGAGTCGTTACGTCGAGGTGGTCTTCGGAGGACGGAGAGGGAGTTGCGCCGGTTGTACTTCACGGTGCATATGAGCCGGCGCAGAAGGCGAGCGTGTCTCCTGTCATCTTGGTAGTTTTGACGTGCAGAACATGTGGATTGCCGTATACGGCTGAAGGCGTCTGGGTGGACAGTGAAGTGTGGGAGGCGTGAGAGGTGTGTGCCAACATAATACTTTCGATCCAGCCCGCGATTGCAATGAACAAGACCTGGTTCACTGGTCATTGCGGCTTATAGGTTTCCCATCCGTAGTTACTCCTAGCTACCGTTCCAATAAACGGACATGAGAGCCCTTCCCTGCTTTGGATGCGTTATCAAGCTTGCATACTAAGGCGGTAGAACGCCGGTTCAAGACTAATGCGCAGTATATAATTATACGTACTGGTCACGTGCAGACTTGAGAACCTTTTCTCAATCTCAGCTGCGGTGGCCGAGTGGTCTAAGGCGGTAGATTTAAGTCGTTCGACGTGAAACTCTACTGGAGCGATCCGCGCGAGTTCGAACCTCGTCCGCAGCATTATCTTTTGGCATTTCCAATGACAATCCATATACCTTATCTGCCTTGTGTTTGACCTTTTCTTCCGCTGTATTGCAAGTAAAGCAAGAGGACGTCAGTGCCCTTGTTCCGAAGCTGTTTGGCAACAATTCAGCTGGGATCAATCACGGTTTGGTCATAAACATCACTTTATAAAGTTTGAGATGGAGAAGAGAATTGTAAAACACATGAGCTTGGAGACCAGTGGTTATGATAGCGTTGAGTGGGCAAGCCGGTTTCGTCTCCTATCCGCAGTCTCAAAACACCAAGCCCTCTATCCGCTCTTCCCCTTCCCGAAAGTCTCATACTCACCATACACCCTACCAAGCTGCTCCCGCTCTCCACCGCTCATAGCAGCGCTGAGCACCCATCGTGCACTCGTATCGTTAACCTGCATAGCTTCAATCACCGCCCACAGCCCCGGCCGAATGGCATCGCTCACACCCTCAGCAAGCGTGCCATCCAAAACTTGCCTGCAATAGTAGTGCAGCACAAACTGCACGTACTGGCCCACATGCGCCTGTGCCTTGCGAGCATCGTCAACAAGATCAGAAGTCTTCGATCGACTCCGAATATGGGCAGGCGGGTTACACAGCAGCTGTAGCACCCTGGCCAAGACCCGTGCGTGCCGGGCAGTGAGCCCCTTGCGCTTCATCGCCTTCACGTCCTTGGCATGCCCGAAGAGGCGAGATATGAGTGCTTCCAGTAAGGGGACAACAAGGTTCATCCGGTCCTTGAGCCGCGAGCGATACTGCTGCAGCAGGATGGTAAAGATCCTGCAAGCGTCGAGGAATACCACGCCTCCAACATCGCCTGGTGCGAGCACAAGCGCATGTAAAATCGAAACGACAGTTTCGATAGCGTATTGATTGGTCATGAACGGCTTCTCCCTCAGCACGGTGACGATGCAAGCGCAAGCGCGGCGGCGAGTCGTGAGATCTTGGGCCTCCTGGGCGCTGCGAAGCAGTCTGTAAAGGGTCTCCTGCGGCTTACCCACTGCCGTCTCGGGAAGCCCATCGAAGTGCTCTCGGTCGAGCTTCGATATGGCAGTTTGGAGCAGGGTGAGCTTGGAAGCCGATGCCGATCTGTCCTTCGGGAGCAAGCGCTCAAGTAGCAACACCATTGACCCGCCCTGTGAGGGTTTCGGGGTACAGCCGTGCTGGAAAGCAGCAAGAAGCGCGGCATGCTCTCGTGGCTGCAGACCCACGCTCAGCAACCGTGCCGCAACATTTGACACAGCTTCATCATCGACGACCAGGTCCCAACGACCGATCAGCTCCATGCACTGAGGTAGCGTCACACGCTGGACCTGTGCAAAACCCGGGGCGTTGTCCAAGGCACGAGCACCCAGCATATCCGTCACCAGACTCGTAAGCTTAGCCCGGAAGTCGAATGTTGTACTCTCAGCTTCCGTGATAGCACGTGGCATGACAAGCAAGGCACCCAAGACTCTAGGTAAATGACGTCCTTCTGGAGTGTCCCCATCCTGATCCTGAGAGTGCAGCTTCTTCGCAGTGCGTACAAGGAACTTGGCGTAGCGTTTGATAGCTGCGCCAGCGAGACATCGTTCCTTCATCTCCGGGCGCAAACCGGTGTCCAAGTGCGACAGAATCACCTTAAGAATGCTGAATGTCCGATGGTTCCCGGAGAATGTGCTTTCACTCTGGCAGATCATCTCAATATGCTGCTTCGCTTCCGTCGCCAAGCTGAGGAGCATAGCTTGGCCGGCGTCGTGACCCTGACGGGAGATCAGCTGCTTCATTACCAGTCCGACTATCTGTTCGAGGAGCTCGACAGTTTTCTCGTCGTCACGTATGTATGGCGGCTCCAGCGTTCCAGCAACCAGACCCTCATGATCATACGCCGGATTACCCAGCTTCCAGATCACAGCTGTATCATTGCAGATCCGCGCTTCCGGGCACGACAGCTCAAGCATCCGAATCATCACCAACAGTCTCCCTTGCAAGACCTCACTTCCAGTCTTCTGGAAGTGTTCCAGCGCGGCAACACCGTCAAGCACCCGCTTACGCTGTGACTTCGAGAGGGCCGTGGCCGGGAGCTCGACGAGGACGCGCAGCCCTAGAAGCGCTTGCGCGACATCCGAAGGATGCTCTTCTTCCGGATCTTCGGGTTCGAGAAAGGTAAGGGTAACACGGACAATGTCCTCAATCACAGCGGTCTGCGATGACGCGACCGCCGTGGCAACGATGGCTCGCACACTGTCCATGACTGCCGAGTCATCTTGGCCGCTTTCTATCAAACCAGATGCCGCAGCCAGCCACTTGATCAAAAGGTCGTTGCGCACGTTGCTCTCTTGAAGGTTATTCAATGTCGCGGGAGCTGTCAGTAGAGGCTGCAAGTCCACTGTAGGCATGCGTTGCGCCATCCGATCAACGAGCTCCAGCGCACGGCCGATGGAATCGTAGTGACGCAGGGTATCCGAGAGCATAGTCAAAAAGGTTTCGGCCTCACATGCAGCCTTCATAGCCGATGGACTCGCATTCTTGTCCTTCCGCACCGCCGTCGCGAAGGTCTCGGCGTGCTCCACTGCGCTTGAGAATGAAACATTATCGGTCTTGTCGAGAATGGTTACCTCGCTTGCTTGCCCAGCTGCCCAAGCAGGAAACCACATCCCAAAGACTCTTCCGCATAGTGTCCAAATCTGCGGGCATTCCGCTGTAGCTGCCGGGTCCTGATGGAACAGCTTGAGCAGGTCTTCAAATAGCTCGCCCAGTGGGCCCTGAAGACTGTCCACAAGCGCGCTGGAATGCACACCACCCAGGAATCCGTAAAGCACGATCACACTCGCGCAGAGCTCGATGCGAGCTGCTCGCACTTCTTTGACGGACAGACCAGGCGCTTGCGCAGCCGTAATTGACTGTTGGTAGCGTGCGACACACTCCTGGATCTGGCGTCCAGTAAGATGCCTCTCGACCAGTTCGCCAAGTGCGCTGCCGATTTCGAGCCAGACGCACCGAGTGTTGTCTTTGAAATCATGCTGGAGCTGCTCGTGCCAAAGCTCGATGAACGTAAGTAGATCTCGGTTCTGGGCGAAAGCTTGCATCACTTTCGTCACTACACCATCTCTCCAGATATTAGCCAATCGAACACCGCGCTCCAGGTCAGAAGGCACATGAGGCTGTTCTCCCCTCCCCAAAACCAGAAGACTGGCCGAGATATCGCCGAACAATCTCCCGGCCATCGCGCGGTTGGTGGCGAAGACATTAGCATCCATGTCCACAACCTCGTTGACCATCTCCCAATGCACCAGCTCAGAATGCCCGCTTTCGCGCCCATGCGTTGTGACGAAGTTCGTGAGCACGGCTCGCGATAGCGAGAAAGCTTGCTTCCTAACGACCGGCAGCATCCTCAAAAGTATCAGGTGTTCCGAACCCACGTCAAACGGGCGTCGGGCACAGGCACAGTCCAGTAAGGCCGCGAAGACTGCCTCGACCCACGGCCGCTCCTTCAGTCGTTGGCTCGGCGTGGACGAAGATTGGAGGCAGCGGAGCGCGATGTCGAGCAAGACTGTGACGGTAGCGTAGTATCTCCCCGGTCTCCCATCCAAAGAGTCGTCCGCTGTGAGTTTCGCGGCCTTGTACTGTGCGAGTCGTCGCTGAACATCGGTTGGTGGCGGAGCCTCGGAGTCGAGGTCCATGTTGTCTGCGTTATAAGCAGGGCTGCGATGCTCCTCGTTGGAGAATGCTGTCCGGGCGGGGAGGAAGACGTGCTTGGCGATCAAGGACTCCAGCGCTCGTACACCACCTATGACCGCAATCGCATCCCCGTCCTTACGCTTGCGCTTCCCAGATAAGTCGCCAGGTTGCGGAGAGAAGGATTCCAGCATATACGCAGCAGGCACGAGACATGCATCTGCGAACAAGTTGTTCTCGTCTGCGCTGCGCCTCCGCAGACCCCAGATTTGGAGTGCCGGGTTCAGTAAGTAGTGGTTCGCGATAGCTCGCGTGCGTTCCTCGGGACTATCATAGCTCGATTGGTCGACGGCATTGAGCCAGGCGCCAGTGAAGCCCGCCGCCACCGCAGCATCAGCGCTCAGCACAGCCTTCAGCGGCGCGCCTTTCGGGCCGCCTGAGAGCTGCAGAACCAGATTGACGCACCCGGCGACCGCCAGCAGTACTTCGGCCGAGTTCCCAGATTGCGTCACGCATTCCCGGACGATAGTCAAGACATCTGCCGAAGCGAGCAGAGTGGCAAGCCTCTCGGGTGGAAGGACTCGCAAGGCGGTGCTCAGAAGTGTCCAGGAAGGTGCTGTGGAACGGGCTGTCTCTGACTTCTTCAATTTATCGAGTAGCCACTTCAGGATCATGTCGGCTCTCGCGCTGTGCGTGCATAGCCGCCTGGCTTCCTTCAGTTGCGATGGCAGATCCGGGAGCGAGTCGAGAGCTTTGAGCCGCTCCAGCGACGGCTGCACAGTCCTCGGTGATGCAGTCATGATGAGTACAGTCTCCAGTGCCTCCAGTAACCTTCGTCACGCCGCCGTCGCCCTCGATCGGGTGTTTGATGCGTTGACGTTCTCGTCCTGAACTTTTTCGTCGGGACCGATACTAGCGCCGGGATGTGACGGGTGTTTCCGCAGCCAGGAACAGCTCTGAAGACCGAGCTCTCCTGCGCTTGCTTGGATGCGATTGCAGTTGTTTTGGAGCGTTCAATAGCCTCGACGTACCCTCACGCATACCCCAGACCCTCCAACTCGACAGCAAGTCATATCACACACACAATGGACGCTCTCACGTCGAAAGCGCCCGCGGTGCCGCCGCCCAACCGCCCGAACCGACCGATGAGCGAAGCACTGTTGAACGAGAAGGTACGTGGAGACACGGCACGAGGACAATGGCGGCCAGACTGTAGAAGCAGGAGGTGGGCTCGGTGAATGCTGACTTGGGTACCACAGTGGGACCACTGTCTCAGCACCCTCCTCATCCGCAGCACGCTGGGCGCATCCTTCGGCGTCATCTTCTCCG